ATAATACAAGGTCACTTGGTGCAGTATACAGTAAAAGAAAGACAATTTAAATCAGTATTGTTATGCTGTATTGAATTAGTTAATTAAGCAGCCCCTGACTTGTCTGTTTTCTATTCCAATCTCTATTGTACATCTCTTCAGTTCATTCAGAAATATGTCAATATATCCACTGTAGTCAAAACAGAAAAATACTATTCCACGAAAAATGTGAAATTTCCATAACATACGCATATTTGTATTCATTATAACACACTGAATACCAGCGAGATGGACAATGCTCATGCATTTGGAACTCAAAATTGGTATTTGGAATAGAACATGTATAAGGGGATCTGTTCACTAACTCAGAAATTGTGGTGAATTTAAAAGGGACTTACAAGTATCTAGGTAAAAAATAGAAGATCTGAAATAAATGGCTAGATGCCAGAATATTTTTCTATTTTCATTATTTTTGCCTACAAATTTGAATTCCTTGTTGTTTCTCCACAATTCCCAATTTAGTAAATTTACCAGGTCATTTTAACTTTTTATTATTCTAATTAATCTCATTGTCCTTTCAATATGTCTGAGTGACTCGGCAATAATAAAATCCTCACTTCATTGAAATATCACAGAAATCAATTACTTCTACTGCTGCAGTTGTATACATTGAACTGTCCATTTTCACCAACCCATCATCGTTATTACATCTCTGCAGTAGACATATCTGGGGGAATTATCATTTGACAAATATTCTCCAGATGTGCTGTGCATATGAAAAATGAACCTATGGTAGATGTCATCTGCATTACATTCTCTCTAGCCATGGGTGGCCAAGTAAAGAAAGAGCAGCCACCCTCAGCTGCTCCAGAGACAGTCATTCAAATATCTCTCAGTAGAAGCAGTCTGTTATTTTGCTGAACATATGTAGAGGGTTATAGACAAAAACAGGAATTCTGCAGGAGTAAATATGACTACGTCATGGCAATTTTAGAGGCTTTAATTTAAATGGTATTCAATAATTTTGCTATATATGAATACCGTTAAATTGGGTAATAGTAACATCCCTGGATGTTGGGCATCTCCAGGATTACTTGGAAACCAGAGCATATCTAAATCTTTCCTGGTTAAACACTTTGTTTCTTCTTATTATTATTATCATCCAAACTGAAGAAACTGAAGTCCAAATTGATGTGAAATGTACCTAAACAAATTCATATTAATTCTGTCTGAATTATAGAGAATGTTGCAGCAACTGATTATCTCAGAAGTTAAGTTCCAAACTAGCAGTTAAAATAAAATTAAAAAAATAGACCCACAGATGCATATTGAATATTCAGGACCATCCCGAGATATTCTTCTGCCTTGGTTCTTCTTTGTCTTATGTATATATCATGGATATAAATTATAAGTTTGGCACATAGATCCTATCTTTGTTACTATCTAATGTACATTGTTTAGGAAAGCTCGGTATTACTGTTTGTGTTTTTAGTTAGCTAAAGACCGTTTGAAAACAAATGTTATGGCTATATAACAAATGTTGTTACTGTTGATAAACCAGGTGTGCGAGCACTCTGAATAATGTCACATTGTAATGTTATAAAGATTATATTTTATAACTGGTGTGTACAAGATAAGATGAATATCATAATAAATATTACCTTTCAGCATAGTCTCCAGTTATAAATTACATTATTAATGTCCTAACCTACAGCAGATAGACATATCAGTTCTGGTTTTCTAATTGGTTAGAAAGCTTACTCAAATATTGTCACTTTATTGCCTTTCAAACCCAATCCAGCTTAATTTTCCCATTCCTGCTGCCAATTACAGACGTACAAATATGAGAACCATTATTCTCTCGGTATTTATACCACCAATTAAAATTAAAATATAATTTACAGACCAATCACAATAATTTGCAAGATCTAAAATATATGTATTAACCCCCATACATTAATAAAAGTCACTTTAATTTCATCTGTGTGCATTTACAAAAAAATGTTTTAATATTTTTTATATTTATTTTTTGAGAGCTCAAGTAATAACTGCAGTTCACATGGTCAGCATCTGTATCTAAAGCAAGCCCCATCAATGGCTCCTTCACTAAGTAACCATGGAGATTGAGTTGAGTCTGTCTGCCCATTGGCTCTTCCTGCTGACAAACAGTTGATTCCATCCCTTGTTTGTAAAACAGATGAACCATGTTAACAGAATTAACACAGTTTAAAGGGGAACTGTCACAGCTCAGGAATTTACACTGTCGACTAACACATTTAAAATCCCCTATAACTTGTGTTAATCTTATTTTTCATGAGATGCTCCATTTTATTTTAAATTTACATTAAAGATTTAGCCAATGACATCATACTTCAGTTCAGATAAGGCAAAGCCAGAGTAAACATTTCAAATGATGAGAAGAAACAGAAACATTGTTTCATGTTATGTGGTTGCCTTGTGTTGACTGCCAGTTGCAAAGCATAGAGATTGTAATATTGATTGACAGGAAGCTAAGATGGAGGCACCCAGTTACAGGAAAAAGAAGTGCGGATTTCTACATTTAATTTTATTCTTCACATCTCATAAATATATATTTGTTATATAAAAAGATAAGTAAACATAATATTAAAAAAACTAATAATATTAAAAAAAGAAATATCTATTCTGTTTTAATACTTAAATTAGTACATACACAATAAATTTTATTGATGTCGTTTAATCAAAATGTATAAATGCAAGGGGCTTTAGTTACTATATAGTGAAATAATTAATTTTTATACGTGTTTAATTTGAGCTAAATTTTGCAATCTTTTATCACGTTTTTTTTTTTTTTTTTTAAACTTAATATTTTTTTTATTATAAGCTCACCAAAACCCATTCCAAAGTTACTATATTGTAGGGTGATTTATTTTTTCATTCACTGATTGAAAAATTAGATTTTACTTACAGTATTCCGTTTGCATGAAGAGTGTGTTTAGTTTATATTGACACTAGTTTGGTTGTGGTGGGTAAATAACAAAAAATAGTGTCCTTAGTTTGAGTTGACATTTATACCTGGGTAGATTAATACCACACCTCCATACATCTTCATCTCCAAGCAGTTTATATTCTGACTGTCAAGCAGTTCTGGACAAAGATTTACAGAATGAAAACCTTTGCATTTCAGTGTTAACCAAGGCATATGTGAGATCTAATTTAAAATAAGCACATCTAGCCATTATAGGCAGAGAATGTCTTTGGTGTTACATCATGCTCTGCCTGAATAGATTATTGCTGCATTGTGTGATTTTGAAATGCACAATCAAGGAACTGATCTGTGGTTTCCATTCTTTTTGTATTTATTTATTTTTTCGTTGTAATAAAATAAGCTTTGCATCTAAATTAGCTATAACTAACATGATTTATTTGTTTATCCTGAAACACATACTTGTAGATTCTTGTTGCAAATCAACAATGACATTTTCATTACTGTTCTTTACCAGCAAAATTGGGATGGGCAGAGCTCAAAACTATCAATTAAACAGAAGGTCGCTACTGACTTACAGATGTTTGATTAGTCATGCACAAGTAGTAGATAAAAAAAAAACCTGATAAATACACAGACTATGCATATATATATATATATGTATATATATATATATATATACATCAAAAATCAAAATAAAAGGAGCACTCACAGGTCTTCATATGAATACTAATTTATTCCAAGGTGCAAGTTACATGTGCAATCGACGTTTCGACCCTCACAGATCTTGAAGAAGACCCTGTGAGGGTCGAAACGTCGATTGCACATGTAACTTGTACCTTGGAATAAATTAGTATTCAGATGAAGACCTGTGAGTGCTCCTTTTATATTGATTTTTGTTATATTTAAACGCTGAGGATTGCACCCAGGCAATATTGTACCATTTTCTTGAAAAATTAAGGGTGAGTGCCAAGAATCCTTTTCTTATATATATATCTATCAGGGGCGGACTGAGAGCCTTTGGGGCCCCCGGGCAAAATTAGATCCCAGGCCCTTTGAACGCCAAATATATGTGCATTAAATAAATGTTAAATATAATTCATAATACGGCATTCCTTTGGATGTGTATATTGTGAAGACCTGTGTATCAATGCATGTTTGTATTTGTGAATGCACTTGTGCATGTCTGGATGACTACATGTGCTTTTTTGTATATAGTGTCTGTGTGAATGCATATGTGACAGGTGACAGAGTGTGTGAGGGAGAAGGTGACAGGTGGAAGAGTGTGGGAGGTTGTGGCAGAGTGCGGGAGGGAGGGGTTGAGTGGTGGCAGAGTGAGGGGGAGACACAGTGAGTGGGGGTGACTGGTGACAGAGTGAGGGAGTGGGTGACTAGTGACAGAATGAGGGAGGGAAGAGATGACTAGTGGCAAAGTGAGGGAGGGAAGGGGTGACTGGTGACAGAGTGAGGGGGGGGGTGACTGTCATTAGTCACCTCATCCCTCTCTCTGTCACTAGTCACTCCCTCCCTAACTCTGTCACTCGCTCCCTCACTCTGTCACTAGTCACCCCCTCACTCTGTCACTGTCACCCCCTCCCTCCCTCTGTGACTAGTCACCCCCTCACTCTGTCACTAGTCACCCCTCCCTCACTCTCACTAATCACTCCTTGTCCCTAGTCACCCCCTTCCTCACTCTGTCACTAGTCACCCCATCCCTCTCTCTGTCACTAGTCACTCCCTCCCTAACTCTGTCACTGTGAAGGAAGGAAGGGGTGACTGGTGACAGAGTGAGGGGATGACTGGTGACAGAGTAAGGGAAGGGATGACTAGTGGCAGAGTGAGGGAAGGAAGGGATGACTGGTGACAGAGTGAGAGAGGGGGTGACTAATGACAGAGTGAGAGAGGGGGTGACTAGGGACAGAGTGAGGGAGGGGGTGACTGTCACTAGTCACCCCATCCCTCTCTCTGTCACTAGTCACTCCCTCTCTAACTCTGTCACTGTGTCACCCACTCCCTCACTCTGTCACTAGTCACCCCCTCCCTCCCTCTGTCACTAGTCACCCCCTACCTCACTCTGTCACTAATCACCCCCTCTCTCACTCTGTCATTAGTGACAGAGTGAGAGAGGGGGTGACTAGTGACAGAGTGAGAGAGGGAGTGACTAGTGACAGAGTGAGGGAGGGGGTGACTGTCACTAGTCACCCCATCCCTCTCTCTGTCACTAGTCACTCCCTCCCTAACTCTGTCACTGTGAAGGAAGGAAGGGGTGGCTGGTGACAGAGAGAGGGAAGGGATGACTAGTGGCAGAATGAGGGAAGGAAGGGATGACTGGTGACAGAGAGAGGGGGTGACTAGTGACAGAGTGAGAGAGGGGGTGACTAGTGACAGAGTGAGGAAGGGGGTGACACAGTGACAGAGTGAAGGAGGTGGTGACTGTCACTAGTCACCCCATCCCTCCCTCTGTCACTAATCACCACCTCCCTCACTCTGTCACTAGTCACCCCTTCCCTCCCTCTCTCTGTCACTAGTCACCCCCTCCCTCTCTCTGTCACTAGTCACACCCTCCCTCACTCTGTCATTAGTCACCCCCTTCCTCACTGTCACTAGTCACCCCCTCCCTCTCTCTGTCACTAGTCACACCCTCGCTCACTCTGTCACTAGAGTGAGGGGGTGACTAGTGACAGAGTGAGGGGGTGACTAGTGACAGAGTGAGGGGGTGACAGGTGACAGCATGAGGGAAGCGATGACTAGTGGCAGAGTGAGGGAAGGAAGGGGTGACTAGTGACAGAGTGACGGGATGACTGGTGACAGAGTGAGGGAGGGGGTGACACAGTGACAGAGTGAGGGAGGTGGTGACTAGTGACAGTCACCACCTCCCTCACTCAGTCACTAGTCACCACCTCCCTCTGTCACTACTCCCTCCCTCTTTATGTCACTAGTCACCCCCTCCCTCACTCTGTCACCAGTCATCCCCTCCCTCACTCTGTCACCAGTCATCCCCTTCCCTCACTCTGTCACCCCCTCACTCTGTCACTAGTCACCCCCTCACTCTAGTGACAGAGTGAGGGAGGGGGTGACTAGTGACAGAGTGAGGAAGGGGGTGACAGAGTGAGGGAGGGGGTGACTAGTGACAGAGTGAAGGAGGTGGTGACTGTCACTAGTCACCCCAGCCCTCCCTCTGGCACTAGTCACCCCCTTCCCTCCCTCACTCTGTCAATAGTCACCCCTTCCCTCCCTCACTCTGTCACTTGTCACCCCCTCCCTCTCTCTGTCACTAGTCACCCCCTTCCTCACTGTCACTAGTCACCCCCTCCCTCTCTCTGTCACTAGTCACACCCTCCCTCACTCTGTCACTAGAGTGAGGAGGGTGACTAGTGACACAGTGAGGGGGGTGATTAGTGACAGTGAGGGGGGTGACTAGTGACAGTAAGGGGGGGTGACTAGTGACAGTGAGGGGGGTGACTAGTGACACAGTGAGGGGGGTGACTAGTGACACAGTTAGGGGGGGTGACTAGTGACAGTTAGGGGGGTGACTAGTGACAGTGAGGGGGGGTGACTAGTGACAGTGAGGGATGCTGACTAGTGACAGTGAGGGGGTGACTAGTGACACTGAGGGGGGGTGACTAGTGACAGTGAGGGGGGGTGACTAGTGACAGTGAGGGGGGGTGATTAGTGACAGTGGGAGGGAGGGTGACTAGTGAGGGAGGGGTGCTTAGTGCCTACCTGTCTCTCTGCTTCCTCTTCTCTCCCAGGCTGCTGCTCCTTCCCCACTGATCGGCTCTGTGTGAGAGGAGTAAACAGGAAGTGATATCACTTCCTGGCCCCGCATGGGAGAGGAAGCAGGAGACCTGGCAGAGAGCTGGTGAAGCTACCAGGTCTCATTGGGGGGGGTGACTTGCAGAGCGGTAGGTTGTGGGGCCCCGCGCTGCATCAGGGGCCCCACAACCTATCAATTAAAAAGTTTTATTTTATTAATTTTGCTGTTCCAGTGATCTCTCCAGCTGGAGCATGGCTGTGCGGTCGGGCCCCTGACTGTCTCGGGCCCTCGGTCCATGATCGATATGCCCGAGTGGTCAGTGTGCCCCTGATATATATATTTATATTTATATTTAAACCAAGGATGCAATGTCACTCACTATTTACATACAATTATTGATCTATGTCCTGATGTGTCAAATTAATCCATGATACCCAGTGGTGTATTAAGGATTTGTGCTGCACTAGGCAGGGTGCTCGGGCTATAAGACTGTCGCTGAGAGCATCTGTTTCTAATGCGATTGTCTATAACAATACAGTAGTCGATGAGATAACCTAATACTGTGGGTACATCTCTGGAAGCTATCTCATCGAGTAGGTAATCGGCTAACCCTGCCTGAAAAGCTGTTACCAGAGAATCGTTGTTCCATGTCACTTCCACCATTAGAGAAGAAAATTCTATTGCGTAGTCTACCACTGTTCTGGAGCCTTGTTTGATGCGTAATAAGGCTCTTCCAGTGGACGCTATCCTACCAGGCATGTCAAACGTTCTCTGAAAGGATGATAGGAAATCGGTGTAGGTGATGTTGGGACCTGATTCCCATATCGGGTTAGCCCAGGCCAAGGCCCTGCCAGAGAGATGTTTAATGACAAAGGCTATTTTTGACCTGTCATTAGGAAAGGAGTGTGGGTTCATAACCATGTGTATATCGATCTGGTTCAAAAAACCCACGACAAAGGGTAGTCTCACCACTATACCATTGGGGTGGTGTTATGCATTCGGAGTGATGTAAAACTGCCTGTTCGGGTATGTGAACAGGGACCAGTGGAGCAGTATCAGCTTGTTGTGCCCCCGGTTGGAGGTGAGCAGTGAGCTGCAGAATAGTCTGTAACGCATGGGCGAACTGATCCAAACGGTGGTCTTGCTCCTCCAGCTTGGAATTCTGAGCAGCTAACTGCTTCCATTTGACCCTGTTGTAATGTTACGTTCACTAGGGAACCCTAACACGCAGACAGGACAGAGTAGAGAGAATTGCTTGGAGGAGTAAATGTGTAATACTGTGGAATGGCAGGGCATGATGATGTGCACTTTTGGTGTGCATTATGCAGTTTTCATTTTCTTTGCATGATGTGTGAAAATCAAGATTGCATAGTAGAAGCAATAAATATATGAAGAGAAAGCAACAATTTCAAATTGGTAGGTATCGGATTACAACAAATATCTAAAGCACAGTTATAAGGTGTATAAATCTAAGTGCTCAAAACACCTATGTGGGATCCCTTTAACCCAAAAATACATAGTATACATAAAATTGGAGGAGCACTATGCAGAAATACTTATCTAAGCGATATTGTCATTTCCTCCTGGATCAATAAAATTGTTTCTTGGATCTTTGGTGGAAGATTGCTGGATACCTAAACATCATTTAGATGGGCACAATACTAGTTTAGATCATCTGAGAAGCACCATCTAGAAGACAGATCAGGATCTCCCATAATTAGCCTACTGAGCTGCACACTCAAACCAAGTGACGTTATAGGCTCCAAGTTTTTGTGTGACCCATAATTACTCTCAGTCTCATTTTGTGTTTAGACATTTCTGCACTATTATTTACTATAATTGTTTTTGTTTCCCATAGGCCACTGCTATTACCTATGATAGATAAGTATTTCTGTATAGTGCACCTACGATTGAGTGTATACTACGTATCAGATTAGTATGGATGGAGAACAAGAATAGGCAAAGCTAGAGCACAGAAATGCTAGGCAATGGCTTCTATTGATAAATGGCGGCCATGTGAAGGTTCTTGTCATTCCAGCATTCGTGTGCATGGGTTTGACAGGCAGCTTGATTGGCATTGTTATCTGTATTTTCCATCTGCACAGTGGAAATCTGGGGCTGTTCTGTCTGGTCTGGGAAAGTTCTGAGATAGAGCTGTAAATATAGAACATGGCAGTAATTAGTAGGAAGATAGAGGTTTAAATGGCTTGTGAATGAAGACACCCTTGCGTATTGCACAATGTTTACAAGTATTATTTTATATAAGTATTAAGGTTTCAGGATTGATTTTTGCATAAGTTAAAGTGGCATATTAAACCAGCAATATTGCAAACTGAATATTGTCTTAAAAGAATACTGCACACTAAAAGTGTAAACATTTCATTGTTCTTTTTCTATTATGATGCGTTTATTTTAAAATAATAAGATGGAACTGCTCCATAGAACGCACTGTGCCTGGGATTCGTGCTCTTGGTCTATAAAAATATTTTCCACTGTACAAATTCCAAGCTCTCTTCTCAACATACTGAAACGATCACAGACAATACCCTTAAATAATTTATTATATCGGTGTTCATGTCACCATATACACAGCATGGCATTTTTCTAATATGAAGTGATAGTTTAAATAGAATCACACGTCTGGGAGACGTTACTCCCGGGCTTGTTTGAGTGTGAAGTATGCACAATATAGAAAAACTGTTTTGGAATTTCACATTTTAGACACGTCTAATATCATTTGCTAATTTTTTTTGTGAGTTTAATTTAAAGCAAAGCTGACATAAAAAAAATATATACACACATCTTCTTATGCTATCTGGGTGTTGCCGCATATCAATTTTGATACATCAACACGTGTACAATAGTCAAGAAATCAGGGGAAAGGATTTGTTGATTGATGGTACTTTAACCAACAGAAGAAGGATATCATATCATATGTCCACTGTACATAAGAAACATAAATACAGGAAATTGAATGAAAGATTATTTAAATCATTTTGTTTACAAAGCTGGCAGTTTTATTATAGAAAATATTTCTTCAACTCATTATTATGCAATAGAACTTTAAATTCTTTTAAATGTTGAATCTCTTGGCATTCTTTGTAATGTTATTTTACTTCGACAAGTTAAAGGACCACTCTAGGCACCCAGACCACTTCAGCTTAATGAAGTGGTCTGGGTGCCAGGTTCCTCTAGGATTAACCCTTTCTTCTATAAACATAGCAGTTTCAGAGAAACTGCTATGTTTACACTGAGGGTTAATCCAGCCTCTAAAGCCTCTAGTGGCTGTCTCATTGACAGTCGCCAAAGGCGCTTGCGTGATTCTCACTGTGAAAATCACAGTGAGAAGACGCCAGCTTCCATAGGAAAGCATTGTAAATTGTAAATGCTTTCCTGTGAGACTGGCTGAATGCACGCGCAGCTCCTGCCGCACGTGCGCTTTCAGCCGAAGAGGAGGAGAGGAGGAGGAGAGCTCCCCGCCCAGCGCTGGAAAAAAGGTACGTTTTAACCCTTTCCTCTCCATCCAGCCCGGCGGGAGGGGGACCCTGAGGGTGGGGGCATCTTCAGGGCACTATAGTACCAGGAAAAAGAGTATGTTTTCCTGGCACTATAGTGGTCCTTTAATGGTAAAAGTTGGAATTCATATTACAAATTGTATGTCAATACGGCAACATATCCAAAACATTTCACAACTACTTTCTATGTAGCCTGATATATCTACATACTCGGATTTCAACAGTTTGAAGATATACTTTCAGAAACTGCCTCTTTCTTTCACTTTGTGATTGCAGATTTGTTTGAACCTTATTTACTAAAAAGACAATTGGACAGTTTACTAATTTATAATATCTCTTGGGTAGCTTAAAGGAATACCATAGTACCAGGAATGCAAATCTGTATTCTTAGCACTCTACTTCCCTCTGGGCCTCCTCACTCCAACCCACAGCAGTGTACTCTTAGTGTACTTACCTGATTCCATTGCAGATCTCCCTCGACACTGGGTCTGCACTCTGCCACCTTCTATGTCAATCGACAGGGAGCACTTATGCCACTTCAGTTAGCTGTAGTAGTCTGGGTGCCTATAGTGTCCCTTTAATGCGTTTGATCTTATTGAAGACTAAAATTTAGAAGATGCAAGTTAGGTTTTCACGTAACACTAATAATCAAAATTGATAATGTTTGTGAGTGATATTTATATGTGATTCTGATATTTAATTTATTGTTTACCTACTACACTATATATCATCCATTTTTCTTATTTCTTTTTTTGTATGATAAACTGCTGTTTCTTAAATTAGTATTGTACTGTTTTGCTATATTGGCTCAATCAATTTAACTTTGCACTTTATATAGACTTTGCACCAGAGACACTTTATTTTTGTTTTGTTTTTTGTTTTTTGCACTTTAGAATTGAGAGATGTTATTCAGTCTACTTGAGAACACTTAAACACAGCCCTGGCCAATCAGAATCTTCTCATAGAGATGCATTGAATTAATGCATCTATATAAGGAAGGTTCAGTGTCTCCATGCAGGGGG